TTTTTTTTTTTTTTTTTTTCAAGCTGGGAAGAACATCTTCACCCACGCCCATTCTCCTCTTAATCCATTTGGATTCCTACTTGAATTACATGGCCAGCCGCTTTTGACATTGGACCCAGGTTTTTTCATTTGTATCCACCAGGAAGAGAGGTACCATGTTTCTGAGTTCTGTTACGAGGACTGGCTATAGACTTCTTGAGGCCCAGCGCAAAACGAAGATGCAGGCCCCCTCTTCAAACATTACTAAGAATTTCAAGATGGCGACAGCACCTCTTCACACACGCACGACGTCAGACCTGGCAGCCGTGGTTGGCGCCGCATCAATTTGGCTGTATTAATGTAACCGGCCCTGCCATCTCTTTCTCCCCTGTGTCGCAATGCTTCCTGTGAAGTAGGGACCTCGAGAACAAAATACTGTGACCCCAGTCCACTTAAAAAGAATGGTACTGCAGCAAATGTTTATAGCATATATTTTTTAGACTTTCAAAAAAAAAAAAAAACCCACACGGAAATCTTTTCTACATCATTACAGTAATGAAAGTAAACACTGTGGCCTTTCACCATATACATATTTTCCTGTAAATAGGACAACATGGAAATAGTAACTGCTACTATCCACAAGGTTTTTAAGTTAGCAAAGAGTGAGACTTCCACAACTAAATTATAACATAATCCCTCTCGTCCTTATAAAAATAGCCAAAACATAAACTAAATGGCTTGCAGTGAAAATTTGAGTAGTAGCTTCTTTATATTGAAAAACATTATATTCATGGAAATATTGTCCTCGTAAATGCTTTACATGGATGTCATAAGGCAAACTGTAGCGTTTACTGGTACCTGGCGACCATGATTTTAAAAACTCAGAAGCTGAGTTTTAGACCCTTTTATTCAAAACTGTTACTGTACAAAGTGCATTAAAATATCCGTTATCCAGCTACCAAAAACAGTATGTAAAAATTACAACCCTTTCAGTTTGTTCAGGGAAGGCAAATACACATTGTTTTTATACTGTAAAAAAAACAAACAAACATTAAGTTTCCAGAGACTGATTAATTTTTTTCCATTGAGGTGTCCATCTTTTAGATGTGAAATTGTCCTAAGTAGCTATCAAAATATTCATCTGGGTATAAATAATATAGTAAATATATAAACTCTATCTGTTCAGAAAAAGGAGAGCGTCTGCCAGTGAAGAGGACAGAAGCATGCATGACGCAACCCATGGAGTCCAGGCTGATGCTCATACAGCACGATGCTGGAACAGCGGGTCTATGGACGGATCTCAGGGAGACAATGGGTTGATCTGGTTAAAAACCAATTGCTAAAAACAATGCCTAAATCCATCAGTCTGTTCAGTCAAAATGGCCAACCCAGTAGCTCAGATAAATATTTTAGCAAACGAAATGACTTACAGATGTCATGCCCTTTGTCAAGATAGAACCAATGCTGGATTCCCGGTCCAAATCCAAGGACTGCTTAAGAAAGCCTTACTTCATGGACCATTCCATCTTACCAGATCAGCAGGTCCAGAATCCCACCCGACATTCCATCAGCAGGTTCTATTAGCGGGTTCCAGCACGGGATTAGTGAGTTTGATTTTTTTGGGGTTTTTTTGTTTTGTTTTGTTCTTTTTTTGTTTTTGTTTTTTTGTTTTTTTACAACTCTATAGTGAACTATACTAGAATACAGAGGGACCGCTACATCTTTCGAGACGTGTTTAATAAAAGTCTGTTTATAACTTTCGAGGCACGTATACTAGTAAAGAGTATGCAATGTCCCTTGTCATTACCAACTCACAAATATTAAGTGTTTTTGGGTGAGTCCTATTTGGACGTGATAGAGACAGTCAGGGCCATGTGTTGATGTCCTGGAGAGCAAAGTCAATCCAAAGTGGTACTGCCATTTGTAACACAAAATGTTTACTTCCTCAGCCCCAGCAACAAAAGAAAAATGAGTTGGGGGAGAGGGAGACAGGACAGCTATCAAATGTAGCAAAGCAATGTCACAGGCCTGAAGAAACTATTAAAAGGAAGAAGGAAATAGATTTAGGTCATGAAACAGAACCCTACTTCCGATCAAAGACAAACCAGCCTCTGACGTTCTGAATAATCAGTAGGATTCAAAGTGACTATTTTCAATGGCAAGCTCATTCTTAACGTCAATTCTTAAAGTCAATTCTTTCCGCTCTCCCTCTTGCTCTCCATTCTAGTTGATCCAAGACGGTTTTGACATCACACTGAAAACACTTCAAAATAAAGTAGACTAAGAAAGCCCGGTTGCTGCCCTACTAGGTTCAAAACTATTTTTTATTTTTAAGGTAACTGCATATTCTGTTATGCACTGTCGAGGCGACAGGACCCAAGATGGGGTCAGTATGAGATACGACGATGTGAGAAGCTGAATAAGCGTACAAAACTACAGAAGATTTTTTTTTCTCAAGCCCACAGAGCGTGATGACACAAAGGTTGTTGTAAAGAGCTGGTAAACTTCTGGGCCTCTTAATGTGCAAAACCAGATAATGTCTAAGAGTTGTAATTCTGGTTATGTTTCTTTTATAAATAATCTATAAAATTTCCTGCAAACACAGGACAAATTTGAAGAAATTATTAAAGCGTGTACTTAATACAAAAGACAGTAATGTTGAGTCCTATCCTAGCCGATGTTTCTGGACACTTTTTGGCGACATTTAATCACACTCTGGAAGCCTGTGCTTTCTCCGTCCCTGAAATGGTGGCCGCGACCCTTTTATGCCCCAGAAAGCAGCTCCATGTGGCCAGCTGCTCATGGCACCTGCTCTGTGCAGTCCAGATGGTCTGGGATGGGAAGGCCAGTTATAATGGTCAAGCACTTGTTCCACACTGTGAAGGTGGGGCACACAGGCTGCGAGAAGGTGATGTCGAAGGTGTAGAGGTGGATGGAGTTCAAAGCATCGTAGAAGGCGACGGAACCATTGTCATAGTCCAGCAGGATGCCGACGCGCCGGAGGTGGGGGGCCGGCTCGATGGGGGTTTCCTTGCTGTTGTGTCTCACCACCCAGTTATTGTGGCAGCGGCACAGGGCCCAGGAAGCAGAGTTCTTCCCAATCCACTCATGCTTCGGGGCTGATTTGTAAGCAAGGCCGATGGCATACCTGCACAAACAAGACGGGGATGACAAAAACCATGAGGCGGGTTGCACACGGACGCTACCTCCTTTCTCTGGTTTTCAGGGGTCACAAAAACGTGGTTTTCTGTTGTCCCCGCTCATTCTTCAGAGAAAGCTTGGCAAAGACCCTGACACCGGTGTTCCTCATCGCCTTCCTCCCAAACATACGGTGGGCGGACACGGGCCATTGTATTTACTCATATTCCTGTTTTTAGTTGAGACATTACAAGAGAATTTGAACTTTGTGTCTCGCTGCCTTTTGTTTTGTCTTGTTTGTTTGTTTTTTACCCTCATCAAGACCCACACAACGAATTCCCTAGACCAGCGCTGTCCCACAGAAGTATCTGCAACGAATGAAATGTTTTGCCTCTGTTCAATATGGTAGCCACGAGCCACGTGTGGCTACTGGGTGTTTGGACTATGGCTGCCAAGACTGCGGAACCAGACCTTACATTTAGTTAATTTTAATTAAGTCAGATGATTTAAATTAACTGCATGTGGCCCAGGGCTACCACATTGGACAGCATAACCCTCTACTCGACTGACGCCATGTCTGTCACTTTCCATGACTTCGAGTACACCTCGCAGCAGGTAAGCGTGGAGAATGGTTTTCAGTTCCGGGGTAAGTTCCTTGTCCTCTCCTAGCCGGGTTCCTGATCTACAGCACGGGGACAATGACAGTCTCCACCTCGGAGGGTGATTTTGAGGAGTAAAGGAAAGAATACGTGTAAAATCTGGCGCACAAGGCGTGGCAAGGAATCTCGGGTAACTGCTCTTTTATTACAGTTGCCCAGTGCCACATTACTAATAAGTACCAGAATCAGATCTTGAACCTAGGGTGACTCAAAAGGCCGCAAACTTAACACTCTTTCATCCCTTCCCTCACCAGAAAGTATGTGATTCATCATTGCCAAGAGCCCTTCTGATTATATTTCTTACTACATTTTTAAAAATTCTGAATGTCTTTGAGAGATGGACAGCCCGGTTATTCTAAATGTACTCTCAACTGCTCAAAAGAGTTAAGAATTCTTTCTATGATGATCCCAGGATCCTGGGATCAAGCCCCGCATCGGGCTCCCCGCTCAGCGGGAAGCCGCTTCTCCCTCTCCCACTCCCCCTGCTTGTGTTCCCTCTCTCGCTGTGTCTCTCTCTGTCAAATAAATAAAATCTTAAAAAAAAAAAAAAAAGAATTCTTTCTACAGTGTTTGAAGCTCCTTAATCTCTTTTTACCCTGCTAAGGTATGCCTCTATAACATTTGCAGTATTTCAGTGATTAAGATAAGCAAAACCCATCATTCTTAATAAAGAGTCAATGATTCAGAGCTCAACCTTTAATATGTTATAGCAGAAACCAGTCTAAGTGGATACTGACATATGGTACCTTACCCAGTGCAGAGAGAAAAAAACTCCATTGGTCTTTGAGAAAACGACATTCTTTTTTAAAAAAAAAAAATTCCATGTTGGATTTAAAATACAATCACTTTAAGAGTGGTGTGTTAAAAAAAAAAAAAAAAAGGACTAGAACATGCTATCACTGAATTTAAAAAGAGGATGGAATTATCGATCCTCAGCTAAGCCTAGTGTACCAGCCCGTCTGCCATCAACTTGGCCTGTCTCCTCCTTCTGGCCAATCCTGCTCTGCATCACGGGGAGAATCCGGGGGTTGCATTTCCCACATTCCTTTCCCAGCGGGAGTCTGGGTCAGGTCCTGACACTGTGATGGCTCTGCGCAAGATCCAGAAGTTCTAAGAGGTGGGGAAACACTCTTTTCCAGCCGGCAGCCAGAGAGACACTTTGGAAAGGTTTTTGTTTTGAGTACTGGCCCCAGCGATGTTCTCTATGCCCCACAGACACACTATTTCCATTTTTCAGATACTGTGGAACCTGCATTTGCATCACAAAATAGCCAGGTCTGCATTGTTTCCTTCTTGTTGCTACGCACCATTTGGATTTTGTATCAAAGGACTCTGGCGTTTATTTCCCATTTGAACCTTAACTGAACCCACTATGAAGTAGCTGTGGCAGGTAGGACTGACTTCATTTAGCAAATGGGAAAACACAGAGAAGGTTACAATTAGGAGCAGAATCCAGAATCTCGCCCCCTCCCCCTTGACTTCTGGCCCAGTCATCTTTGCGTGAACCCACGTTTAGTTAACACCATTTCATAAAACACCAACTGCACATTAACAGCATTAGAGAGTAAGAAAATAACTCCGTGCATAGTCCATTAAGCAAAGGAAAATACCATTATGTTATCATTAATCTGTAAAACTATGTACGTATTTCCATTGAGCTTGAAAGGTGCGGGCAGAAGGTAATGTTCCATTAAGTTACGCAGTGAGACTTGGAGAATTCAGAAAGTATAAAAATTATGTTTCTCAGAGCAATGCTAATATGCCCCATTGCAGGGATCATAACATACATGTTAACTGAAAGTCAGGACGATATTTCACGAGAAAATGGATGTGTCATTAGCTGGTGCAAATCAAGGCGCCACAAGCATTTGATCATATGGGTCACCCCTTCCCCTCTAACACCTCCCAGGAAACGTTAGACTGGTTTCTACGTGAGACGTCTTCCGAAACTGACACAATCCGGTGTGTAAAGATCCAAAGTGTGGCAATTAATTTTAGAATTGTTCCCCCCTCCCGAGTTGGTTTTGACATCTGGAGGGTGTTTTCAAGGTAATACCGATCTGTGTTTATATTAACTGAAGGGGTCTGGTGGAATTTCCCGCACCATTCATCAATGGGAATGAGATCATAATGATCGGGTATCACTTATCATAAATAATTATTAATGGGGCTGTAATTATTTGGACACTGGATTCTATCCCAGATTAATACTGCACGTTAATTAACTAGAAATGTTTGCTCCTTTGCACCTGCAAAAATTCATCGTATTTTCCTTCGGCCTTTTATCTTGCCCCAGTGCCGCTAAAAACTGTAAATGCCAATCTGGCCCAGAGCCGAGCGGGGCGGAAGGATTTGTCCTCCATCCTCTGGCAGGATGTTGGAACAGGAAAATGTTCTGGGCTAAGGGAATTGCGAGGATCACAACAGAAGAAAACCTCCTTGCTTGGCCATTATAGGTACCATTCTGGGGAGAAAGGAGACACCCAAGCTTATGATTTCACTTTTTAGATCTCAGCGGACTTGTACCAACACTGTAAGGGACTTAAGACACAAAAGTGTTTTAGCATCCTTATCTCAAACATAACACTGTATGATACTCCTCGTTTCAGGTTATGCAGTTGGGAAGTGTTTCTTTCTAAGCAAGGATTAAGCTATCGCTCACCAAGTATACCACTGTACGCCCGAAAGAGTAATTATAATGTTTCAAAAACAGAGCATGGTGCTTCAGAGCAGAGATCAGCCAACTGTAACCCATGGGCCGAATCTGGCCCTCTGCTGATTAAAGTTGTATTTGTGCAAGGCCACGCCCAGTCACAGACACACGGTCTGTGGCTGTTTTCCCACTACAACCGGAGAGTTGAGTAGTCGGGATAAAAATCACCTGGCCTGCCGAGCCAGCAACACTGGCTCTCTAGCCCTTTCCAGAAAGATCTGTGAAGCCTTGGGTCAGAGCTTGCGCCCTGACTGCAGTCTTCCTCATCCTGCCACCTCCCAGCTTTGCCACCTTGTGCTAATGGGCGTGAGCCTCAGTCATCTCATCTGTAAAGGGGGATCCTAGCACCTACCTCTGCGGGGCTGCTAAGATGAATGAACGAGTTACCAACTGTGGGATGCTTAGACCAGTGCCTGGCATATGGTTGTGCTAGATGAGGGCTGGTTAAATAAAAATAAAAGAGCAAAAGCGAACAGGTGTTTGTGAGCCAGCCAGCCGGAGAAGGGGTGCAGTGCGTGGCTGTGGAACGGACAAGGTCAGCTTTGTGAGGCTAACTAGGCAAGGTTAGCTCATTCCAACGCAGACACCGCGTTGGAATGTTCTGGGCCTGACCGACACCCTTGGGTTTAGAGAGCTCGCTGGGCTAACAGACCGTTTGAAAGGATTCCCAGCCTATGATCCCTGCCTCAGCCCCTCAGCTCTTGACTATTTCCAGTCGTCGGCCCAGTCTGGAGTCACAAAACATACAAGGCAACAGAAATTCGTTCTCTTCAAATGATGAAGAGTAATGTTCTAGAGTAGGAATCGGCAAACGTTTTTGGTAAAGAGCTGGAGAGTTACTATTTTCGGCTTTGTGGACCATAGGGCTCTATTTTAACTGCTCAGCTCTGCCGTGTGGCTCAAAGCCCAGCCATAGACAGACAATGTGGAAAAGAATGGGCATGGCCGTGTTCCTACAACACTTTATTTACAAAAAGAGGCACAGGGCCAGGTCTGGCCTGCTGGTTGTCGTCGGCTGACTCGTGTTTTAAGGCACGAAAGAGCAGTGTTAGCATCCTAGCTCTGTTAGGGACCAGGACTCTATCAACTCAGCTGCAATTCTTGCTGTAAATAAAAAAGAAAAAAAAAAATGGATGGACTTAAAACAAGCTGTTTTTCTTATTGGCTGAATGGAAGATTAGATGATTGTTTTGCAAACATTCACTCCCTCCTCTCATCTCCGGGGGAGAGATATACTTCCCTAGACCACCGGCTTTGGCTTTGGCTTTGGCCGATGAGAAGTTAGTAGACAGTGAGGTAAGCAGAGGCTTGAAATGTGCCTGCCTAGCTGTGGCTCGTGCTCTTGGGCTCCTCGAGAAAGACCTGACCCGGGGAGCCCTCACGTCCGAAGAGGCTGAAGAGACACAAAGAACAGACCTAGATGCAACCTACGGCTGAAAGCAAAGCCCGGCTGAGATTAGCCTTGACAGTGAACCCACACATGGGGGTGGTGAGCGAGCAATCATAAATGATTATGGTTTGAAGCCACTAAGTCTTGGGATGCTTGTTATGCAGCATTACCATGGCAACAACAGACTAAAAGCTTTCCTGCATAGTCTCCTTTAAGATGGGCCCTGGAATGGACTAATGCTCTGACCAGGTACGGAAGGAGATGTGCCTTTTTATGACTGGACGACAACAGATATCATTGCCTACCATGTGCTCCCACTTATGACCACTTCCCAGTAATGCCGACCGCTATCAATGAACACATTTCCAGCTACGCCATAGCTCCCTTGGCTGGTGAAGCGTTCGGGCGTGTGGCTCTTTTTGGAGGATGACTCATCACGTTCTACTGTCAAGTTATCGTGGGACACCTTCAGCTTTCGATGTGCAGACTTGGGGTCCAGTTTAAATGGCTGGCCTGGGAACAAGTTTACAAAACAAAGAGAGGAAGAAGAAGAGGACCATTTATTTCAACATGACCAATAATGTATTTGCAGGATCAGATTTTAAAAGCACAGTAAAATAGTGAATACGAACATGCCCCTGCCTTCGTGAACTCCCAGCCTGTCAGTTCTGAGACAGGGATCCAGAGCTGCTGCGACTAATGATTCAACAGTAGCATGGGTGGGGATCAGCCACGACATGTGGTAGAAGCTATTTTCGGGGGTCCCAGCTGGACACATGCAGCTCTGGTACATACTAGCTAAACAGCATTCCCAAGGGAAGGAGAAAATGAAGACTTCATTTTCAACCATTCCCATATTCGATCCAGCTTAAAATGTGGCTCGTGCTCAGTAGACTTCAGACCAGAAGCCGAAGAAATCAAGACTGCAGATTTTGACCTAAAGGCTTTACATTATTCTGAAACTGTTGCAAATTAAAATGATTCTCATGAGCTCAGAATGACTACAAAAACATGCATTTTTCAGCCCACAACAAGATCAGGGGAAAAAAATGTGATCATAACACCTGGGTTTTCTACTCCTGAGTTTGTAAATATATATATTTCTACCCCTGAGTTTATATATATAAAATAAGGCCCTCTCTGTTTCATTATTCACATTTGCGTTTTGAAGGTCGAACCGTCAGAAAATCTTGGCAGAGTCACCCCGAACATCTTGTCATAGCTGTTACTTCCTTGAGAATGTAGCGCTGGTCTGGAGGACTGCCTGTCATTCGACACCACATGGGTGTTAAGAGGCAGGAAGTGAGTTACGAGAGCATGCAAATACCATGATGTCCCAAGCCCCCGGCCACAGCCACGGCCACGGCCACGGCCGCAGCTGGTAGGTCCGCCCTCAGGCAGCCAGTGGACAGAGCTCGGTACACTGGCCGGGGCAATGCACGCCGCTGGCTGAGACAGCGGCACGGAGAGCACGCGGCAATGAGTGTGAGGTCACGTCCGGGTGGACCGGAGGGTTTCTAGCCACCACCGGGACACGAACATGACACGGGCCGGCACACCTTTCTCCGAAGAGGCCAGATAGATATTTTCAGCTCTGCTGTGGCAGCGTGGAAGCGGCCCGAGACGAGAGGGAAATGGATGGGTGTGGCTGTGTGCCAACAAAACTTTATTTATAAAAAGCGGCAGCCAGATTTGGCTGGTGGGCTGGATCGTCTGCTGACCCGTTTCAGATTTCTGTCCACATCACAGGAGAGCTTAAAGGGGGAGCTGAGACAAAGCTTCAAGTGTGGATCAGGGCACGGACATTCTCAGGGGCTCTAAGTGCTACTGGATTATGTGCAGAGTTTAAATTTCAGCTTGTATTGTGAAACACAAATGTCCTCAGGAATGATCACGCCAGCAACTATTAGGGATAAAGTATGAACTAAGGCAAGAAGAGTATGAAGGTAAGTTTTGCTTACAATATTTCAATTTTTAAAGGTGGAAGAGAGAATGCGTGTGAAAACAGGTGGGACATGAATGGGCAGACGGGGCGGGTGTTCGTAAATGCAGCCATCACTGAAGAGGAGGGCCGTGCACTGCTTGTCTTTCTTCCAGTGAGGAGCATCAGAATGGTAGAGCCGTCAGAAAGACTGGCCTCTAATGAGGTGTGAGGTACCCCATCTCGCCTCAACTCACACCCTCACCTACACACGCGTGGAGTGCGATCATGTCAGCTTAGGTCAGACCCAACCCCAACCCCTGCATCCTCAGCGAGCACATTCCACCTGTGTCTCAGATGTGTTTCTCAAACGCACCATCACCTACTCTGTCCAAGTTCAAGGCTTTTGCTTCAGTGAGGACAACTTAGTTCAAGGACCAAATTAATCATTTACTTTACTAAAGAATTCAATTCAATTTAATATTGTGCATGTAGGAGTTTGGCAAACTACAGCCTGCAGGCCAAATCCAGCACAGGGCCTGTGTTTGTCAATAAAGTTTTATTGAAACATGGCCATGCCCATTCATTTATGTGTCATCTATGGCAGATTTTGCACTGCAATGGCAGAGGTGAAGAAGAGTGGATGGTGACCAAGACCATCTGACACGCGTAGCCTCCAATAGTCACTCTTCGGCACACAGCAGAAAAGTTTGCCAGCTCCTCGTTTATAACTGTTCAATAACTGCATGTCTAGAAATAGAAGATGACATTATCTGGCTACACGAAATGAATGCGTTATCTGCAGGAAAACTGATGAAGTACAAATCCGAGGTCTCAAAGACATATTCTACAGAATTAACCTCAGTGTATACATTTACTTATTTTTTTCCTACTTAATCTCTAAAAAGATTTCCTTCTTTACCAGCAGAAACACTGAGAGGAGAAATTAGCTTAATGTCTAAGCGTATGTGTCTTAAACATGTATATGTCTGGAGTCAAAGTTATGTGAGCACTGAAATCGAGGATTTGGGTTAAGTGTGGGTTCTTCTGGAAAAGCAGTTACCTGTTCCCATTGACCAGAGGCAACTGCCTAACATGGTGCTTTCTCTTGGGAGGTCCTATGCAAAGAAATTCCATGCTATAGAACATATTTCTAGATCAAAAATAGTAAAGAAAAAGAGAGGATAAAAGAAAACATATGTGGGCAGAGACAGCGAGGGAGACGACAGTGTTACAAGACACACGTATGGGCCAGATCTTTCTCTGTTGTGTCCTGTGTAGTGTGGGATGTTTCCCATCATCCCTGGCCTCTAACCATCAGATACCAGTAGCATCCACCCCACTTACAACAACCAAAAATGTCTCCAGACATTGCTCAGTGTCCCTGGGGGTGGTGGCAGTAGGGAGGGCAGAACCGCTTCTGACTGAGAACCACAGACCTAGACAGATATCTGGAGTAAAGCAAAGGGTTCCCGAAGAAAGAGTTATTAATTTGCTCTTCTGCTATGGAAAACAATTTGCCATTTGCAGAGCCCCAACGACCTATCGGGCTTCATGTATATATATATATAGATATCTATATAGATATATATAGATATCTATATATATATCTCTGTCCTAATTCTCACCAGAACCCCTCCAGGATTATTTATTTGAAAAGCGAGCGGTCTGAAGTGCAGAGAAGTCGATGGACTCACGGCCCTTAAGGGGCGAGTGAGTCGTGGACCCCAGAGGTGTCTGATGCCAACTCCACCCCGCCGCCCTGGCTCTTCACTTGCTTCTCGGGGCTGCTGGTGATGCCCGAGGCAGAGAAGGAGGAGAAAGGGGGACAGAGGCGGCCGGAAGGAGAGCAGAAGGGAGGCGGCAGCTCTGCTGAGCTCACGGCACTTACTGTTTGTCTTCAACTTCCCAGGCTCGCTGCTGCGGCTGCCTGCCTGGTTGATGGCCTTGACGATGAAGATGTACTTGGTGCCACTCTGCAGACCATGGACCGTGTAGTGGTTCTGCTTGATGTTGGGCACGATCATCCAGCTGTCGGCAGAGTTACACAGACCTGCAAAGCCAAGCAGACACGGCGCGCTGCTTTGTCATCTCTGCACCTCTGAGGGAGCCCACTGATAAACTCGGGGGTGCAGGCTCCTGCCTGCGGTAGGTGATCGACCCGTATCTATTATCAGATAGTCCTACTGTGTGCTCCACATGGAGAAACCCATCAAAATGATTACATCGCAGCCTCTGTTCAGTAAGCATACGAGCAGCCAAGGCGGTCCTGCCTGGCGTGCTGCGCGTGGTGCCCGTGCGTGATGCGTTGTGAGGCGCCGTGGCGAGGAGAAGGAAGCAGCGAGTTACCACGGGTTCCACCCTCGGCCTCCCCCACCACCCCATGCTCATGACTGTGATCGTTAAATTGGAATCTCATCAATTCTGAGCCTCACAGCCGGTGAGAAGAGACCTGAATCACGTAAGAGAAGTTGCCTCCACGAATGTAGATGTAGTAGATTGCTTTTGTGCCTCTGATTCTGCACCCTGCCCCAGACCCAGGCCTAAGCGGCTTTGCAGAGATGGGAGGTATTCCCTCGTGACACGGCTTTGGATTTGGCCGTGCGACTTGCTCGGGCCGATGGGATGAGGCTGAAGTGGCGGGGCGCAAGCTGCAAGAGTAGGCATTCCAAGGCCTCGAGAATTTCCGTCGACACCTTGGGCCTCTGCCATTGCCAAGGGGAGAACATTCCCCAGACAAGTCTCCTCGTCTCAGCAGGATGAGCGATACAGGGAACACTTCTACCGCCCCGCCCCTGCAGGAGTGAGGCCAGCAGAGACTGGCGCAACTTCTGAGCGGGGAGCTAAGAAAGCGATCATCAGGGTTGTTGGCGTTCCAGCATTAGCATGGCCGCAGTTAACCAACTCAGGAGGCACGTCCCTAGGAGAAGCGCGGAGCAGTGGCACCCACGGGCAGCCCAGGGTCCAGTGTAGCTCTTAGAAAAGCATGAACGGGGATTCGGACCAGCTGTATTCCCTCGCATGGCTGGTTTCAGAGGAGAGCGGGGCCGCTGCTCGGGCTGCGTTCTGCAGGATGTGGGCTGGGGGGCAGGCTGAGGATTTACGATGCTTGGAAGAACATGCAGGGAAAAGGAAGCCCGTTTTGTTTTGCAGCTCGCTGATGCTGAAAACATCTCTTTGGTATTGGGCCCAGCTCTCCTCTCTCCACCCATCAATCTCCACTCTGAGAGAACCTTTGCCCAGCCCCCTGGTGACTGGCTGTCATGAAGTTTCCTGACTCTGGTGAATTTCCTTCACCAGTTCTTGGTAGAGGGCTGAGCCCCCCCACTTCCTGAGGGGCTCCAACCCCCCCCCACCCTTTCCCTTTCAATGGATTTGCAAGTCAAAGAGTTAGTTCTTTTGATCTTGAGGCAACTTATACCTTACTGTAATCCCAAGAAGCAGTCCCTTAATCTTTCTTTGGTCTCACCTCTTTGAGAATCTAATAAAACATTTCTATAGAAGGAAAGTCACATGTGCAGATCCATACCAAGCCACAAATATTTGCATGGCATTCCAAGATATTCACAGCCCCGTGACATCTGTCTTTGAATCCTACTAAATACTTTCTCCAACTTTTGAGTTAGACATTGTTCATGCTAGTCTCACAGTTGAGAAGAACCTCAGAAGTATTCTGTCAAGGGTGAAACTTCACCTCATACGATCTGTACCTTGGAAGCACAGTCTTTTTAGACACCCTCCACTGAGTCATATACATATATAAACTCACACACGTATAATAAACTCACAAGGTCAGATCTGACCCCGTGAGTTCTCTATCACCTCTTTTCATCTCCACCTGCAAACATTTCACCAGCAGCACCGCCAGATTTGATAAAACCAGCATAAAGCAAGGGAATGATGGGAGGCTCACGGAAGCGGTTGAACGTGTGTGTGCGCTCAACTGAGGCACCATTCACCCGCACTCCCACCCCACCCCCAATTTTCCCCCAACTCTTAGCCCTCTGTTCTCCCACTGATTCTCACTCGTGTAAGCCCCGGGAAAACACCCACCAGTGGTTCAGTAACATGGGACTCTCCTTACTACATTTCCCTTTTGCTACTTTTTCACCTCACCTTTTCCTTGAATATAGCTGTAATATGCTCAATGCTTCTGGACAGTGCCATGGCCAAATCACAGATTTAGATCCGACCAAAGAAGGGGCATTTTGAACTCTGAGCTCTGGGCCCCAAGAAGCCTGCGACTCACTTTAGATATTTAATCGTGATCTTACAACAGCAATAAAACAAAAACAATGAGCTTTTCTATTGCCTAGGATAATCCTAGGCAATCCTAGACCTTTGTCAACAGCAGTCAAGCACGAACAAAAACAGTAACAACATTCAGTAGAATCGAATGAGAATCCTATCAATGTCACTGCATTTACACTGTTCCTGTTTAATTGCATATGTTACAGGAAAATGATTATTGTGGTCAAAGAAAGCAAATGGAAAAATGTTTCAATAAACTTTACATCACTGTACAACCGAAAAGCTGGGCTTCATGTGGTGGGGGGATGCTTTCAGCGACATCATCAAACAGATGTCTGAAATCGCTATGAACGGCAACTTGGCCTATAATCCAAAGCCTTAACCCAACAAAAAAGATTTAATGTTTCAGAACCCTTTTCCAAACAGAAAAGGGACCCCCGAGCATCCTGATTATTTTGAAGAGGTCGCTAATTTTTTTCCCTCGAATATTAAAAGAACAAAAATGTTTATGGAGTAGTAAAATTTGGACAGCTTTACACTGGGACAATCTGCTCTCGCGAACGCTCACGATTTCTGTGGCGGCTTACCTTTCGGTTATTATTATTGTCAGGATAGTAATTGAGAAGTTGATTAAAAATGCCAAGAAAGCAGCATCGACCATTTTCTTCTGGGGGCTGGAGTAAGGGGGTGCCTCTGAGCACACCATTACTAAGCTGCTAGTGTTGGTGTTGGGCCAACACCACATAACGTCTTGCGTGTGGTGCCAAGTGCCAGGCCTGTCTGCCTCGATACCCCACTGTGTCGGGGCCGTTGACCAGGTTTTATGCATCTCTTTATGAAACACCCATGTAACCATCTTGCACTGAAACTTCACTTTTCTCCAAACTCGTTTTCAATCATCTTTGAGAGTATTCCGACATCCACCTTCTCTAATTCAGCTTCGAGTAGTAAAACAACAATGGAACTTGGGAGATAATTAGTTCATAATGAAACTTAATTGAGTTTTTCAATTTTATATATCTTGTTCTCGTTCACAGTGGGTCAGAAGCATCTCCCTACATAATGCTGCTCATTACAAGATCCTAATTACATTTGGGATTTCAGAGCTTTGTATAGCAACTGTCATCTTGCAGTAAAACATTATGTATAAAACATTACGCAACACGGACACCCCTCAAAGAGAGGCGGCATGCGGCTTCAAACATCCTTTGTTTCTGCTACCAGATCGGACAGAAGTGAACATTCTTTTCCTTCTTCTCTGTAAAAATAGTATCTGTTTAGTAACGCTCATGAATGTTTTCAAAACGACTAAAATTAATTAAATACAGATAACTACCTCGCCATGGAGACCCGGAGAAACGCATCTTTGGACTTTTGCTAATAATAAAAATAGGCCGCTGGGAAAAGGCCCCATTTAGGATTTTAAATGGTGCACTGGAAGTGGTTTCGGAAAAAGCATGAGAAACGTTGTAAAATTAAATACATATCTACTTATTAATAAGCAATTCGTTAACATCTGTAGGCTTAAGTCTGTTAATAAAAATGCATAATAAAAAATTAATAGTGTCATTAATTTTGCATTTGAATATATGAATTTGATTAGGGAGAGCCTTTTTATAAGATTAAAAGCTTCACAGATATTATCTAATTCTCCTTCACTGAAGTCAGTTGTGGGCAATTAACTAGAATTTATTATGACAAGTGAAGGAACCATGACCTACAGGCAGTCCAAGATTCCTAGTGGCGCGAGGAGCTATGGCCAGTTTTGGGGCATTTGGTCTTCTAATTTTCGGTACAGTTTTACTCTTAGCTCTTGTCATTCAATGTAACAACATCCAAAAAGGATATTCCTCCAAATGGTAGGAAGGATGGACAAACAACATTCAGGGAAGGCCTTGCACATGAAGATCGTGTAAAATGCCATCATGTAGGTAATCCTGGCTAATTTCACGACTGATCTTTATCCTATGACCCAGAACATCAGCTTTTAAAAAAATGCAATGACGGGTGAGTGTAGCCGTATTTTTGTAGGAATCATAACTTTGAATACCTCTGTGCTCACACTGTGGCAAGCACAGGGCTCAGACCTATGCTTTTATTATCTCAACCATGGGAAGTTAAAACATTACCTCTTCTTACAGATGAGGAAACAGATTCAGAGGTTGTTAAATAATTTGTCCCAAATTATGGAGCTAGTGAGGTCCACAGTTGGGATTCAAATCCAGGTCTCTCTCGGCCATTAGAAATACATATAATAGTTAAGAAGAACTATTGCTTTTTTATCTACATTTATTCTTTCATTGTTACGATTTGATCCTGTAGGCCTCAGGACTTCACTCTACTGGTTTAATGGACGTTCAAGAGACAAAGAGCTCTAGTACTAACAAGCTGATGAGAGTACCCCAGTCGGATGGGCACCTGCAGTTTCCCTGACTTCCATCGGTCCTGGGAGGAATAGCCTTTCTGACATCTGTCCATCAAATAAGCAAGGTCTGTCACCTTCATGAAGTCGATCCCCTTTATTTTCTTGTGGCAACTGCTTTCAGGGAACAAAACACCGTCTCTGGAATCACCGAGCACAGAGCTCTGAATTCAGTGGTGTCGCTGCTGGTGGATGTCTGTAGGCATGGCCTTTTCGCATCTATTCCACTTAGATGTCTTGTTTTGGTATTATTTTTCATGCCAACCGCATGGAAGCCAAGTCAGTCCCAGAGAAACCCTAAGTTTCAAGCAATAGATCTCTTCTTTTCATTCGGGGGATGGAGGGAAGCACTGGGATCGAGTCAGGGTTCTAGAGTGTATCGCCTTCTGGCTCCACGTCCTCGCTCCTCGCGTTTCCATACCCTTTGCCATGGAACCTCGCAGGCCCTCTGACTCTGGGCTCACCTGTGGGACTTGCTCTGGCCTCTGGCACATCAGCTAACGTGACAAAGACAGGGGCTTGCAAAGCATGTGTGCAAGCGGGCCTGTCCTTAGAGCCACGCACTGCACTCCCCAGGAGAACGTGCCCGCGTGGGACCGCAGGGGGGAGCCGTGCGGCCGCCGGCCTCCCCAGTCCACAGCCTGACCGCGACGGAGCCTCACCAAGGTCAGCCTGATTCCAGACACACAGGCAATGCATGTTTATTGTTATATGCTCCTTAACTTCTGTGGTTGTTGGCCTATCAGCCAAAGCCAATTGATACAGGGCCTGCCAGGCCAGGCCAAAGCTCTACGTACTGTCCAAATGCCCACAAAAATTCGCCTCAAGACACTTCAGGAAAGACATAACCATCTATGGTGGACACGCCCTGGGGTAGCCCCTATGATTCTCACTCCATACTATTCATGACTTTGTGTAATTCGCCCTCCTTGAGCGTAGGCAAGACCTGTGACCTGCTTCTAACCAACAGAGTATGGCAAAGGACAAAAGTCCTATCATCGTTATCACTCCTTGGTGGTACATCATATGGCAAAGGTGAAGGGAGTTGGTAAATGTACTTAAGGTCCCTGACCAGTTGTTTCTGAGTTAATCAAAAGAGAGATTGTTCTGGGTGAAAAAAGCAAGGTAAAGAACTGTGTTTGGCCTGCTCCCTTTTGTGTCCCTAAAAAATGTATTCCTAGGTGTGTGTGAGTGTATGTGCACCCTTGGGTATTAACAGACTACCACAGGAGAGATGCGTGTGAAACGGAGTTGGTGCAGTGGGTAACTGTGGAAACACGGTGGCTGCCATATTGAAAAACAACCAAGTGTCACTGTAGACATTTTATACATTATTACACAGTGTTCGTGCATTACTTACTAAAAAGAAAGATTTTTAGGGAAGTTAGTATTTCTTCATGATTTGTAGAGGGGCACCTAGAGCTAGGGATGAGGAGCAATACCAGAAGAATCCAAAGTCCTGAAAGGAGAGCAAAATGATGCCAAAGCATTGATATACCAGTGCTGCTTAGACTTGCCCCCAAAAGCACTTCAAATAGCTGAAGATGGTAAGGGTGTTTCCTGGGGATATGGGCCAGAGGAGGAGAAGTCTTTCTGGGGTTATCTTCTTGCCTTCTTTGGTGCTAGTGCCATTGGTAGGTCCCGGCCATCTCTGCCTTCTCGAATTACTACGAACCTCCAAGTTCATGTCTCTGCTTTTAGTTTTGTCCTGTTCCACTCCATCCTCCGCGGCACTGCCTGAGGGGGCTTCTAACCGTATATCTGATCGCACTGCTGCTCTGTGTGACTGACACCCAAGCCCACAGGGAAAAATCCCACACCGTGTAGCCCGAGTGGCCCTCGGTGGTCTAGGTCTTTACTGTGGGTTAGGATTAAGAGACTGATGATTAAGAACACGTGCTTTCTGGAACCAGACCTATATGGGTTTGAGTCCTGGTTCTATTTCTCTGTCTTCGTTTCCCACCGTCTCCCCTTCCCCACTCAGTTCTCCAGCCAGGCTTGAGTAGACGATGTCTCAGAAAATGCCTTGCCATTCTCTGTCTCCACAGGTTTGCCCCCGATGATGTGGCTGCCTGGAATCCCCTTAACTTGCTGATATATACCCACTCTCTTTCAAAACTTAGTTAAACCATCATTTCCCCCCAAGACATTCTTGTTACACCCACCACGTCTGCCCTCTTACTCCGGCAGCTGGCCATTTCGTGATTTTTTTCCCCCTTATACATTCCTGGAAAATGGGAAGATTTTAATAACAGCTTCCAAGGCAGGCCAATTAGAGAGTGGAAGGTCAGAGGGTCGAGGAGGGAAGCCTCAGAAACGAGGATCTAAGGAAGCTGGGGGGGTCCAGTTGTTGGTATGAGCCAGCGCTACTTCAGTTACTCGGGGGCGGGGGTCTTCACATATCACTCTTTTAATTAATCCTATATCTAATATCTTTTTTAAGCATCACGCACCTCAGAATTACTTGTGCTAGGAAAGAACAGTGTGGTTAACGGAGAAGAGGTGTATATAATAAAAGCACATTCAGTCGATATGCGTTTATTCAAAACATTTCTTTGTTGAAAAGTGACTGCTATTCTATTCTATTCTACTTTGACGTGTTCTATTTTAATTTGCTAAAGAAGTTTCAAACTTGCTCCCCTGGAAAGCCACTTCTTCTGGTCCTTTCCCATTTACTCAACTCAATTTGAATAACTGTGGGGGTAAGGAGGAGAGATTCCTTTGTTATCACCTCTCTGGCCAGCAACTGGGGCTGAGATCATCAAATTGTCTCTGATACCAAATATCTCATGGGCTCGGGCCCCGGTTAGAGAAGGACCTCTCTGTGTTTCAAGTCAGGTCTGAAATTCTTCCCAGGTGGGGGCCAGTGACTAACATCTCAAATGACGGGCCTGCTCTCCTCCAAATGGAACGCGGTATTTGGCATTGCTTGGCTATCCATTTTATTAAATTCTTTTTTTACATTGTGAAATAACACTCAGAAAAGTAGTTAATATTAAATGTATGATATAATGACTAAACCATGTACCTCCCACCCAGAAAGTAGTTAACCCCATGAGCCCCCCATGTGTTGCTTCCCAATGGTGCCACTCCCTTCCCATCCCGGAAGTAACCATCATCTTCGCTTTTATTTGTAGTTTTTACACCTATGTATGCATCTCTAAACAAAACAGTTTCTTTTTTTAAGATTTATTTCTTTGAGAGAGAGAGAGTGCACATGTGCATGTGCGAGTGTGGGGGGAGGGGCAGAAGAAGAAAGAATCTCAAGCAGACGCTCCGCTGAGTGTGGAGCTCGATGCAGGGCTCGATCACGACCTGAGCCAAAATCAAGAGTCGGACACTTAACCGACTGAGCCACCCAGGTGCCCCACAAAATAGTTTTCTTTTTAATCTTTAAATGATGACTGTATAAACAGATTCATACTGCATGTATTCTTTTGTTTCCTGCTTCTTTCCCTTAACCATATGTTTGTAAGACTCATCCGTGTGGTCTGCTAGAGATCACTAATGTTCACCACTCTTTGGCCCGCTATTTTTGCTAGTATAGTACAAGTGAATGCTATCATCTTCTTGGTTAGGAAATGCAGCCAATACATACTGTGTATTCCTTCCTTCCTCGTCTTCTCTTGACGCTTCAATTTAGAAATGCGATCTAACTGAAAACAGTCACCAAACAGAGAAATCGATACGGGGTGCAATACTCACTAACAACGTTGGCTTGTCCGGTGAATATGGTGTACTGGAGCTCATAGGAAACCACACTGAACTCATCATCAGAGGTCCAATGAACGGTGATGGTGTCATAGGAAGCGGTGCAGAGCTCCTCTCTAATCGTGGGAGGGTTGGGAGCTGTGGGGATCAAGAATGCTCATCAGCGAAGAGGCAGGCACCTCCGGGACACAGTTCAGAGGAGATGTGTGACAGTCATAGCAGGCCTTTCTACACAGGTCCATCAGGACCACTATCCATCCCAGAGGTGGTGACCCCAATCCAAAGAATGAACGTTCGGTTGGCTGGTTGCCGCTGTGATTGTTAACAGGTAGCGTGACTTAGCCAGCCAGTAGGGACTTTTCTCTATTTCACATGAAAGTACGTTTAGGAGGTTAAGCAAATAATACTCTTATCCATGAAAAAAAAATATTAAACAAAAACCAAACAAGATGAACTTCTGTGATTTCATCCACACTGGGGAGAGATGGCAGACTTTTCCACTAAAGGGCTAGGTGGTAAATATTATAGGCTCTGCGGGCCATATGGTCTCTGTTGTACCTACTCAACTCTACTGCTGAACTATGAAGGCAGCCATGGGCAATTCATACTCATATGGACATGGGCAGCTTCCAGTAAAACTTTATTCACAAAACCGGTGAGGGCTAGATTTGGCCTACGAGCCAAAGTTTGCCAACCTCGGAGCTTTGTTGTGAGGTCACTTATGTTTATATTTATAGACCCAACTGGAAAAATACCAATGTTTGTTATCCTATAACAAACCAGTCAAATAATTGTTTGAAAATTTTCTTTCATTAAATGTTTTGATGACTTATTAAAAAAAAAAACAAAACAAACACCTGGGGCGCCTGGGTGGCTCAGTCCATGATCCTGGGGTTCTGGGATCAAGCCCCGCATCAGGCTCCCTGCTCAGTGGGGAGTCTTGCTTCTCCCTCTCCTACTCCCCCTGCTTGTGTTCCCTCTCTCACTGTCTCTCTCTCTGGTTCCTTGGCATTTGGTTAACTTTATCACTGGAGAAGGTTGCTGTTTTATGTCTTGAACACAGTCTGGAGCAGAGAAGTCTAAATCCTACCAAAATAATGATTGAAGTTGACTCAAAATCTACTGGCTTGATTTCCGTAACTGGTTTTATGAGAAGAGTTTGTGAGCAAGAAAAAGACTAGGCAGTGAGTGCTCTGCACTGGCAACAGTATTTCAGAGCAGGGGTTGGCAAACTATGGCTATGGGCCAAATCTGGCCCACTGCCTGTTTTTGTAAATAAAGTTTTATTGGAACACAGCCAGGCTCATTCATTTATGTACTGTCTGTGGCTGCTTTTGTGCACTAGCAGAGTTGAGTTAGTTGGGACCATATGTCCTGCAAAGCCTAAAGTATTTACCATCTGGCCCTTTATAGTCAAAGTTTGCCAACCCCTGGTTTAGAGAATCGATCCGGGCCTTTATTGCCACTCTTCTGTATACGAGAACCTAACTTCAAAAGGAGAAACATATCTGCATTCTATAGACTTGTAGCAACCTCTGTTCACGCTATTGGAGAGTTCTTTCCTGCTCTTAACTTTGATTAGGACCGAGGAGTCCGAAACAAACCCAAAGAAGGAGATGAGTTCTTAAAAATGGTAAACGGAAAACTCGAATTGTTTTAGGCTTCTTCATTTTGTCCGCTGAAGAGATGTCCAGGACAAATACCATACACAGCACGTAACTTTTATGTTTGTTGTATAAAGTCAATTAGACCAGCTTTGTCTCTTGCTTAGTGAATTCCACCTATACACGTGGGCAGGCACCGCATTAAGTCATGTATTAGGACAGAAGGGCTCTATAGAGCCCCTAAAGTGTTCTTTTTGGACTATGTATTTATACATCTGTCTCCTGAAGTATCCACATGCAAGATTTAGTGTCATGTGCTGTGACTTGGATGTGCATGAATCAGCGACACGAAGCCAGAGAAGCATTCCGCGGGGGAGGCCCAGCTGCACCATAAAATGTCCTTATGATTGTCTGTGTGGTCCCTGTTGGTGTGCCATCACCCGGGAGGGAGCGGTGGAGAAACGCTTATTTTCCCATAACCTAAGCAGTCCACCGAATTACTTTTCCATCAACCACTGTAGAAAGATTTCGTCCTTTCTGCATTGCAATACGGGATTAAATAGAAAGCAAACTTACGCTCAAAATAAGCCAGTAGCTGTGAGACACATGGCAGTAGCTGTGATTGGGGAGGAAATGTCACCTCTCTGGGTTATTAACTTGACATACCACTTAGAGGCTTGTCACGGGGAGAAAAAAAAAAAATCTTGTTTTCACAGCCACGCAGGCTAACCCTGTTTTGATTATAAGCCCAATGGGTTTGTCGTGAAAAGTCAATACCCAATTTACCGTAAATGAGAATAGCAGCACGCTGCCAATTTCAATATTCGTGGGATTGGTAGCAGAACTGTTATTTTCTTGCCTCTGTCATAAACAGGACATGAGAAATGGTGGGCTAATACTCCACAAACACTTCATTTCCTGCTTACAAATGTCTGATAAACTATTTGGACTTGGCAATATCAGCCAAGCATCATATGTTATGGCCAGGATCGATGTTATGTCTAGAAATGGGCCAGATTTGTATTTGAGGTTTGACGTTCAGAAGGCAGAATGGCAGGTACCCCATGTGGTCTCAAGCTTGGCATAAACAGCCATCGGGATGATATATGGCGTACACGGTCCTAGTCAGTGCGAACTACTTTCACACTTTCCCCTCTAATCGCTGCCTTGGCCTTCGCATGCAGACATAGCCCATGAATGTATGCCCACCGGAACACCATTAGACGATTCTTGGGAAATGGGGAGGACACACTCAGGTCAACAAGACACTGATTTCGTGCAGAAAGGTCATGTGCCTGGCCCAACAGTCTTTCAGTCCTCTTTGTCCTTGGGCATGACCTTGTGACGTGGATCTGGCCCACGAGACACAAGTGGGAATTTGCCAGATGGGTCTTCTGAGCAAGCTTTTTGTTTTCCTAATAAAGACAGATTTTTGTCCCCGTTTCCCCTGCGTCCCTCTCTTTGTACCTGGAACTTGAGCACGATGGCATGGAGGCAGGGCAGCTGCGCTGTGATCATGTGGCAAAAAGGCAACACAGCAAAGGTGGCAGAGTAGAAAAAGAGCAACAGCCTGGCGTCTGAGGTCCTCACTGAGCTGCTGCCCAGGCCTGGAGCTCATACCTCCGTGCTCGGGTTTGTGTGATACAAACACCCCTTGCTGGGTTTAGTCACTGCTAACTGGATTTTCTGTTGTTGCAATCATACTCAATCCCAAATGATGTAAGAGGAAAAAAAAAAAGAGAGAGATTTTTTTCATAGGATGCCATCATGAAAAACAGCTCAGCCAGAGAAAGTCTAGACCTGCACTAATACAGTAGCCACAGGCTTTTTATATTTCAATTAAGTTTAATTAAAGTCAAATAAAAGTAAAGACTCACTATGTACACTTCAAGTTTTTGATAGCCCCATGTGGTCAGCAGCTACCATAATGGACAGTGTAGATACAGAATGTTTTTATCACTGTGGAAGGTTCTAGGGGGTAGCGTTAGTTTAGACAGACTCCGGAGTTAAAAGCTTAAAAAAGGAGGGCAGTAAATTAACAAATATTTGAAACCAAGTTTGGTTCCTTACTGCAAGTGCATTTTGGAGTCAACTTCTTTCTTCCTTAATAGGAGTGGTATGGCTTGAAAGAATGACGTAAGATAAGAAGTTTGTGGGATGACTGCTTCCCTTGCAAATGCAGAAAGGCTAAAAACAGCACCTCGGCTTCTTGCAAAGAAAAAACCTATCTGGGTATCATGCCCCTTGGATATAAAACTCCTCGCTTCTGATCCACAGACTATAAAAACAAACATCTCACAATGTTCCCTTTCTCCTGCTCCATCTTTCCCAACCATGCGCACACGGAACTGGAGTGGGGAAGCTGATGCCACGCTAAGTTAGGGAGGTGGTCTCTCGAAGGCTGCACGCCCTCGGTTCGGTGCACTTCTGGCACCTTCCTAAAGTCACAGGCACTGGTGGCTTTGGCTAACACACATAAAGGTCATCCAAACAGTCCACATTCTACCAGCGAATGATTTCAATTCTCATTCTCGAGGTTGACAGCAAAGAAAATTTTGAATGGTTAGGAATAGGAGTAGCCCGAGGTTTTCTTTTATTGCGGTTCCTTTTGTTTTGTAAGCTTGACCAAAAAAAAAAAAAAAAAAGGCAAAAGCCTATCAGAAACATGGCACCAGGAATTCACATGTGATTTTTGGGACATTTGCCATGGTGACCTTTTGCCAAGATGAAATGACGTCTTTTACCAGAAAGAGCAAGAGGTCTTTGGAGTCCGTACGGACCCAAGCCAAATCCTAATTCGGCCACTCGCTAGCTACCCGACCTCCAGCAAGATGGGTGACCTCCGTCATCTGCAAAATGAGGATTATAACACGCGACCTCAGTCTGATGGTGTGAAGATTATACAAGGTCTCGGATACAAGGAGCTGAAGCAAAGTAGACACCCAATCAAGAGTTAGCTGCCAATTTTTTCTCTGCCAGGACACTGTGAGAGTCAGATGCCTTGCCGAGATGAAGTGGAAAATAGCCACGCTACTTTACGTATCTCTTTGGTGGCCAGCAGAGCTGGTATTTGTGGCACCCATACTCTGAGAGGGAGGGAAAATGGTCGGAAGTACGTTTTTAATTCTCGAGAGTCTTCCTTTTCCTCTGTCCCCAGTTTGGTCGTTTCGGGTGGGAAGAAAAAAGTGTGCCAGAAATCATTTATGGGAATACTAGACTCCGTTCCTAAACCAAGAGCCCACACCTCTGGTTTTTAGGGAATCGACGTGGTGGTAAAGTATGTGTATCACTGAATGTACACAATATTAAAGCGCACGCGCGCGCGCGCACACACGCGACATACCTGTAAGGTAATCCAGACATTCTAGCAATTTCTTCTCTCGGGAAAAATCTAAGGCAAAGGTGTCAAATGTGTCATTGAGGTTGATTTCAGGAATTAGGACCTGGGATGATGCAGTTGCCATGGAGACTCTGTAATTTAAACAAAACAACTTTTTAGAAATGTCAAGATGCCTTTCACCGTTGCCGCCTAGGAACGAAAAGAAATAAAAGGAAAAGAAGTATCATTTTAAAATAGTGCTGTTCTTCCACGGGAGCCTCAAAAAGAACCTGGGAATGGCACAAGACAGCAACACAATGCAAATGAACGCAAGCTTAAAGACGAGGCAAAGGATTTGGGGAAACAGTAGAATGGCTGCTCCCCCCTTCCTTTTTACTATCGGAAAAAAATTCCCCACGGAGGTGAAAGAATATTCATATTTCATGTTGCCGTGTATTTAACAGCCTGGCCCCTTCACATCTAACCCCAGAGAGAAGCACATAGCTCCAGGCATTTCTTCACACATCTGTCTGGGAAACTGTTTGTTCCTTTCAGACTCGACCCTGCTCCACTTCAAAGAGGAGTCTCCAAAATTTCAAACTGCATAAAAGGCAAAGTGAAGATTAAAAAAGAATGTTTCCAGATATTGGATTAGTTTAATCAATTACTAGCCTCTTTCTAAAATAAACATTTAAAAAAGGAGTTTTTGTCTGGCTCGTTTCGTTCTCCTTATATTCTTTTTTTTTTTTTTTCTTTTGCACCATATTCCCAGCAGATGCCATGGAAAATATTCATGAGCTTTCTCACAAATCCCTCCAGTGGATGCACCATTTTCCCTCTTCATTTACAGTTGCAAGTGAAGAGTTCTCATTTATAAACTATAAAGCAACGTATTGGTAAATAGGACTCTCCTGCTATGAGACCATCTCCTGCTATGTGTGTGTTAAGCTCTCAAGTTGATTTGCAAACTTCAGTTCCTAAGAGCAGAATGTTTTTGACTAATTAAAAAATGCAAGCGATCCTCTTAAAAACGATACGATTGTGGCATGACATAAACCATGTCTGAGCATATCAGACTATGCTAGACCCGTAATCTTGTTGATCTGGGTATTTCACAAAGTTTGGTAAACACCACCAAGGACCGACTATGTGTAGGGTACTGTGTAGGGTGCTGGAAATTTGTCAGCAAAGCAACACTCTGAAATGGTTCAGCTCTAAATCTAGCTATTTTCTTTTTTAAAGATTTTATTTATTTATTTATTTATTTATTTGAGAGAAACAGCATGAGAGGGAAGAGGGTCAGAGGGAGAAGCAGGCTCCCCGCTGAGCCGGGAGCCCGATGTGGGACTCGATCCCAGGACTCCGGGATCATGACCTGAGCCGAAGGCAGTCGCTTAACCAACTGAGCCACCCAGGCGCCCAAATCTAGCTATTTTCTAATTAAGAGTATTGATGCTCATTTATACAAAGTCACAAAGCTAGCTGGCAGCTAGGTCTATATTCTTCCATTTAATCTAGAAAAATTTCAACCTGGTTACCTAAGGAGATGTATCTCCTCTTGTGTCTCTTAACGGCTCTTAAAACTTTGTATTTTATAAAGATACGTATTTTGGCTATAAAAATTACACTTGTGGGTCTATCCATACGATGCAATATTATTCATCCATAAAAAGGAGTGAAGTACTAATACACACAACAACGTGGATGAACCTTGAGAGTGTTACGCTAAGTGAAAGAAACCCGACACAAAAGGCCACGTATTGTATGATCCATTTGTATGAAATGTCCAGAATAGGCGAATTCATAGAGACAGAGAGCAGATTAGTGGTTGCCAGGGGCTTGGGGGGGGGGGGGGGGGGGGGGGGGGCAATGGACGATGACTACGTAATGGGTATGGAGTTTATCGGGGGGTAATAAAAAGATTTTGGAACTCGATAGAGGTAGTAATTGCACAACATTGTGAATGTACTAAATGCCACTGGATTGCATACATTAAAATGGTTAATTTTATGTTCTCTGAATTTTACCTCAATATAAGTTACACCTGTGAGGTGCTCAAAATCCTTAGAAATGAAGTTTCTATAATTGTACTTCTGGAACATTTTCAGCTCTGTATAGGGAGGGAAGTAGATGGGATAATTAACAATGTAATAACTGGGATGATACTGGGATCCATTGATGAAAAGTTTGAAGAGGCATAAACTCTGGAAAGAAAAGTTTCAAGGGTTTGAATGAGGGTGGAGAATCTAAATTCACCACCTAGCTCTTTCACCAAGAAACAGTGACCAGCAGAGTTTGGGGATTTTGTTGGCTAAAGAGCGCACCCAAGGGGAATGGGCTAATCATTGTGATGAAGACCTGCTAATTTAGACTGGCAGATATAGGGATGGTTGCTAGGCAGTTTTCACAGATAGTCAAACTGTACTTAAAAAATGCTTTCCTTATGACCCATGATCACAAAAACTCCTCAAAACTCAGAGCGATCTCAGGATTACTCAACAAATATATACGAAGCTCTTAAAGAGCCTGAAAAATTTGCGTCAGTGCAGAAAAGTTAAAAGAAATGCTATAGTGCAACATGAACTCCTCAAATAAAAATTTCAAAGTGAAACCCCAATTAGAATGTTTCATGACGTCCAGCAGGGAAAACTGCACTGAGCTTTGAAGAACCGACCATCTTTCTTTTGCATTTCTCTGTCGTTCTTGTGTGGCACCGATCTTGGGCTGAGAGGATCCTGAGCGCTCTGAACAGATAATCTCACTTTAGCACTTTCCCGGTCCAGGGGCAGAAGCTTCTGCTCAGGCTCACCCAAAATAGATTTCACTCCCACGTTTCTCCTGGTTCTGTGGTCCACAGTTAACTGAAACGTGCTTCGGGCAAGTGACAGTGTTTAAAAAAAAAGAAAAAAAAAAAAGCCTGCCATCTTGCTGGTGGGAACTTTGTGGAGTGGGAACGGAAAGGCTGAAAGTCCCTAAGCCTGGGAGGCAAAGACTGACAGCAAGAATCCGTGCAGATTATTGCAGGTTTTAACACCTACACAGTTTTTTGATGGAAGGAAAGATATTTATCTTTGGCTACAATTTCAAATTCGTAATTGGAGTGACAGGCAAGGGGAGATCTGCCAAATTCAACATTTTAGGCCATGTTTGTATTCCCCAAATCCTTGTTGCCCATCTTCTGGCCTTTCAGATGAGTTGCCAAAATCCACCAGGGCCATCAGTCTTGCCACTTTCGCAATTCTGTGCTTTCATAGTTGTGTGTGTGTACATATATGCCCATGTGTGCACGTGCTTGTGAGTGTGTGTTAAGCTCTTATCATATTGTGGCAAATAAGGACATTGTGTCCTATCTTGATGCTTAAGGGGGTGGCCTGCACATTACTTCCTGTTTCTATTTTGACTTCGATGCTCCGAATCTCCATGACAGTTTGCTAGGGCCACATGGGGCCAGTTTTCCAGAAGGTGGACGTGTCTGGAGCCACACGGCTCACAGGCTTTCTGTCAGTCAGTGCCAGGGGAAGATGCTCTACCCTTCCTGCCTAATATCGGCCCCCGTGCCCGACCCCTGACAACGGCACTTACATGGGTTTCTCTTGCGCGAGTGGGAAAATCACCGTGGTAAAACCCAGTGAGGTCTCACAGCAACAAAACGTGGTTTGCTTTGGTCTGCTCAGGATTTCCCAAATGCATTTGGCTCTGGAACTTTGCTGCTGTTTTAACACCAATTAACACCCTACCAGAACACACTTCAAAACCCACTCATCAGACGTGCTTGAATTCTTAAAATCAAGTGACATCTTTCCATCGTTGACAACTGGAGCTCTTGGCTTTATATTCTGGCTAAGTCTGATGGATCCTTGAAGGACAGAGGAGTCGGACACCCTCCTAGGAGCTCTGAAAAATGAGTACTGTTCAGAGGGAAGTTTCTTTTTACCATCCTCTTGATAATTTGCCACTACAAGTGATTTTAATTTCAGATTTCTCATAAGCAACTTTCTTATGCTTCGATGAGTTTTGCTTACTTAGTGTAATTTTGTAAAGATGCTCATACAGGGCGCCTGGGTGGCTCAGTTGGTTAAGCGACTGCCTTCGGCTCAGGTCATGATCCTGGAGCCCCTGGATCGAGTCCCGCATCGGGCTCCCTGCTCGGCGAGGAGCCTGCTTCTCCCTCTAACCCTCCCCCCTCTCATGTACTCTCTCTCATTCTCGCTCTCTCAAATAAATAAATAAATCTTTAAAAAAAAAAAAAGATGCTCATACAATCATACAGAAGACCTATATATTAGTGTGGCTTGAGAATATAGTATGTTATACTATGTGTGTCAATTTCGTAAGTGGGAGAGAAGGGAATTAGCATTTGTTGCACGATCACCTTGGGACAGGAACCGGACTAATAGTTTTATTATACTATTTGATTTTGTCCCTATAACAACCAGATTAGGTAGGAATAATCAACCTGTTTTATAGTTTGTTCACTCATTCATTCATGTCAGGCAGTTTGCTATGTGCTGGGGCCATAATGGTGAAAACAAGGCGGCCGGGGGTTCTGCCTGCTAGGAGCATATGAGCAAAATTGGACTCACAAGTGTTAAAGGAGCAGCCCCAGTGCCATCCATAATTCCTGCTAAGCAATTAGCGCAGAGCCAGACCCTGGATTCCAAAGCATATGCATCTCCTACAGTGTAAAGCTTGAGGGTCTCTCCCCTTCGGGTGTTGTTGTGTTGTTGTTGTTTTTTATATTTCTGAATCGAAAACCTTTTTGCAGTTTGATTCAGCCTGTCGATGAACATATCTACCTTAAGTGATTTAAAGATGCAGAAAAATCTCATTCAAGTCTCACTTTAGGAAGGCTTGCAGGATTGAAAGTTTGTTCTGGGCTTTCCCCCCCTTGAATAGAACAAGAGAGATGGTGCCAAAGCCCAAGGCAGACGCAATAGGAGGCAGAGGATCATGAAGTCACGTCCTAGAGAAGAATGTTTACTAAGTAAAGGGTTGAAGAGTAGAGACAGGCAGAGACCAGCCCCGGAACAGACATACAAGGCGGGACCGGACCGACATACTAAACTATGAGAACTTAAATCCAACAGACATTATGGAGTATCTATGATGCTAAAGGCCTGTTCTTAGGAGTCATTAGCAGTACTACTACAACTACTGATAGAGGCAGCTATTATGAGCCCAATTTTCTTTTTTTCTTTTTTTTTAAAAAAAGATTTTATTTATCTGAGAGAGAGAGAGAGAGAGAGAGAGAGGAAGGGAATGCAGGAGCGGGGGGAGGGGCAGAGGGAGAAGCAGACTCCCCG